TGTGTTGGAAGAGGGAAGAGCTTTCGGGGTGTGGTTAGCACTGCCAGTGGAGAGTCTGCATTGCTATTGCTGCCAGTGGGGTGGGAAGCAGTGAACACTGGACACAGGACTTTGCTTTTGGAAAACTTTAGTAAATTGCATCTTGCCAGCCACTGAAACAGCTGCCAGCAGCCTCCCAGGTTTTCACCAAACCCTGAGACTTCTCTGTTTTTGCTTTTCAGAAGTGTTTTTCTTTTCCCTTTCCTTTTTGGGTCACAGTGTGAGAATCATCTGGGTGTGTGCTGGAGTAGCAGGAATAGTGCAGGAGTTTGCTTGTTCCTTGCAGTTCCTGGCATGGAACAGCCCACCCCTTATCTCTGAGTTTGTGGACCTTCTCCCGTTTCTACTGGATGCAAGCACAGCTGTTGAGATCTTCCATTTGCTGCTAGACCTGCCCTGTTTAACTGCAGCTCTGGACACCCAGCTGAGGTAACACTGCCCCTCCTTCCTCTCACTTGCTCATCAGGCTCTTGACATTGACCACAGCCTCGTACATGCTTCCCTGAGCTTCAGCTGCCCTCTGGCTGCTGCTATCACAGGGTGAGAGGCATCTGCTACAGGCAGGTTAGCACAAAACTGCACAGATGTCAACCTGTTTTTCCTGGTAACGTGCTGTGCATGGGAAGCTCTTAACACCTCAGTACAGCACTGTCTTTGGGGCTCAGGGAGCTCTTGTCATTCCTCTCTCCAAATCCAGCTACAAATTGTTGCCACAGCCTGGAGTGGTCATGAGCCACCACCTCAACATGGAGGTGTGGGCTGCCTGGTCTCCCCTCCCTGCTCTTACTCCTCTTTTCTGGCTTTGCTCTCCTGGAGGCATACAGAGGTTCCTTCCTCAGGTCATGAGGAACTGAGAGTCTCCAGGAAGATGGGATAGGACTGGAACTGGCTCTCACAGCTGTACCTCTGATCTTCTTCATCTTCCCTGACATCAGCAGCTCTTTCTGGAGTGCTTAGAAAACGGACTCATCCTAGAGACAAGGTGTTGGTGGGCTTCACTGGCTGAGGGGTACGGAGCTCTATTTTTCCCTTTCTTAGGAGTGATACAGAAGCAATTCTGGAACTACTGCCCAAGCCTGAAGGGTCTGAGATTATAATTTCTGTCATCCTGGTTGGCTTTCAGAGAGCCTGGATTAGACCAACTTGCTGTCCCTGTTTCAGTGGGAAGTTATTCCATTGATCAGGATTCCAGATACATCCTGTCTCATTCTCATAATGCAGCATGTTCTGTGTGTGCCTTCTAGGTCATCTGCTCCTCCTACCTCTGAGAAGGCTTCCTGTGACCCAGCCAGGGAGCCAGCCACCTGCCTGGAAGCCTTTCACCATCCCCTCTACAAGAACATGTTCCAGTATCTTCTCCGCACCAAATCCACTCCTGAGGATGCCCCAGAGAGGTAGGAAACTGCCACAGGGCTTTGGTTCAGCCATCCAGCTCTGGGAGGCAGCACTGGGATTGCTGGGAAAGGCATAGCTGCTCTCAGCTGGGGTGAGGTGAGTTTGATCTTCCCTGTGTTAGCTTTGCCAAGCACCCAGAGGCCTTGGGGGGATAGAGAAGGGCAGCCAGGAGAGCAGTTGGGAACAAGCCTTCAGCAGTAACTTTTCTGTTGCCCACAGGCTGATTCCACTTCGGCAGCTGCTGGGATCCCTGGCCAGCAGCCCAAGGGTGGTGCAGTGTGCAGAGACTGTGCCTGTCTTAATGGAGCTCTTTTTCAAGGTGGTGGCAGAGGTAGGCCCTCATGGGGGAGTTTGGCTCCTAGTAATGCTGTGGGAATCTCTTGTTACAGCAAGACTTGTTGTAACAGTAAAAGTGTTATGACACTGCAGTTTCAACAGAGGGGTGGATGAGGGGAGGGTGGGATGGTCTGGCATGAACCAGCACTGACCTGGCTACTTCATCTGAAGAAACATAAAAGCTCCATGGTGCAGTGTCAGGCTTCAGCCTGATACCTGCTCTGTGCACTGCTGTCCCCTGACAGATAAGGCTGTTTCTAGTTAGTTTGGGGTTTGGCTGCTGGAAGTCACTGGTGTTACTGAAGCAAAGGCTGCTCCTCAGTTTGCAGATGGACCACTGATAAACCAGCTGGTGGTGCTGCTGCTGCAGAGGAGTGACCATCTCTATGACATTCCAGCATTTAAAGATGAAGTGTACAGGTGAGATGGGACAGGGACTCCAGCCAAGCTGCCAGCCCTTCCACTGGCTGCAGCCTAGAATACCAGGGCAGCCCAGGAACCTTCTCAGTAATAGCCCAGTTCCTGCTGTGACACATCTTTGGAGGGTGCAGAATGGGAACAGCACTTTGAGCTCTGCTGGGTGCTGCCAGCACCTCCTCCATTTGGTGATGACCACTTTCCCCATGGTCTGAGCTCTGCCCATCTCTCTGCTCCAGGGTGCTGAGCTCACAGCTGGTGGTGCTTTGCAAGCTGCACCCTGCCCTCATCGTGGAACAGTCCACAGAGATTCTGGAGTTCTCAGGAACAGTCAGCAATGTCCAGAACAAGGAAGTCATCTTCACCCACATGGTAAGCAGGGCCTGCCTGCTTTTGCCACAGGTTCCTCCAACTTCAGTGCCATCTGTTGGTCGCCTTCCCTTTCCTCCTCTCCTCTGTCCTAGCATTAGCTAATCTGATTTGTCATTCCCTAAAAATGATCCAACCCCCTTTCCTTCTGCTTGCCCTGAGCCTGTGTGCCCCCATTTCAGGTCTGGGCTATTGGAGAGTACATGTCAGTGTCCTATGACAAGCGCTGCACTGTGGAGCAGATCAGCCGGTTCTTTGAGACCCTGGAGGCCGTGTTATTTGAAATCACCCAGCTCAGACCACTGGCCAGCACCCCCCGCTACCCCCCCCGGGCCATCAGTGTCCTTATGGTCACCTTGACCAAGTTGGCAGCTCGCAGCCAGGACTTGATCCCCAGGTGAGGAGGGCAGGGAAGGGCAAAGGGCTGAGCTGTGCAGATCGGATGGGTCCCAACACAGATGTTGGCTAGTTTTAAATAATCAAGCTTGACAACTGATGGAACCTGAAACTGAGGTATAGTACAAGGGAAGCAGGCTCTGGAGGAGCTTCATTTGGGGAAGTGGGATTCATCTGCTGACCTACAGTCTGTGCATCAAGAGGAGGGGGTGGGCAGCAGCTGATGTTCAGCTGCAACAGTCTTTTGAAGTGCACAGTCTTAAGTAGTGACCTTACTAGGTGCAAATGTCCTGCCAGCTGATGTCTATGTCCTCCTCTCCTGCAGAGTGTCCATGTTCCTGTCCAAGATGAGGACATTTGTGCAGAGTCCTGCTATCACCTCTGTTTACTGTGAGGAAGACCTTAAGGAGATCCTTATCCGGGCAACTGAGCTCATGAACCTACTGAAAATGCCAAGTGTGGCTCAGTTTGTGTTCACGCCGCCTGTAGACGTGGCCAGCACACGGTTTCAGAGAGAGGTGAATGAAACCCTGCCTTTTGCCCTGAGGATGGTCACCCGTCTCCTAGAGCCAGCTCCTGGCTTCATGCCAGGCTGAGGGCCTTGTGTTTCCAAGAGGCTTCAACCCTTGTTGTCACTCATGGGACACTGCTGACACTCCAGGCTTGAGGCCCTGCTCTGAACTGGAAATGAGGAACAAATGATTGTGAATGAAACAGAAAATAAGAATAAGTAGAGCTGGGTCTGCTCTTCTGGTCTGAGGCTGTTTGCATTTATGTCTCCTGGAGACTGTTGCTTTTCTGCGTCCTATACTTATCTCTCCCTGGCCTGTATGGATTGAAAATCTCAGTGGATTAGTGTGAATGTGGCAGGAGGGGGAGTGCATGCATTAAAACTGCCAGCACACACCATGCCTCTTTGGAGAAGTACTTCTCCCTCCCTACACCCTGACTAGACACGTGCTGCTTCTCTTGCCTCTCTGCTCCCAGCAGATCAGCCAGGCAAGGTGGAGAAAGCAGAAGTGAGTCCATGAAGTCTGCTGTGAGCCCTTGCTGCTCTTCTGTCTTACCATCAGAGTGAACATGTTGAGATCCAAGAGACAGCTACCAGACAGGAGCTTAGAGAGATTTATTGATCCAGTTTATTGTTGACAACAAGAGCATTTCTTAACATACATCAGCCCCGTGTCAAACAGGCGCCATGCTGAGTTCTGTGTCTGCATGAGGAGTTTATACACATTTGAGCTGTACAGTATTAACAAATGGAGGAAGTAAATACATCCCACTGCTCCTCCCAGGAGGAGCACAAGCCCTCATGCACACTAGTAAGTAGCTGGGTTCATTTACAGTCTGTCAATACCTGACTGCACTGGGAGCAGCACACAGCTCTGGGGCTGTTTCCCACCTCCAGGGGTGCCAGTGGGGAGCAGAGGGTTGTGTGGGTACTATTGGAACTTGCCAAGGTGCAGCCCTGATACTGTCTAGTGCAAACCAAGCCCCCCCGGAGCCCTGACTGCCAGGCAGAGGGGAGTAAGGAGTGCCTGCACTATGCCTGGGGGCTCTAGACAGCCCATTTCCCACCCTACAAACCTGCTGAGCTCTGTGGAGGATGACAGGCCAACAAACCTACTTGATTCAAAGTGGGGTGAATCACCAGGAGCCCTGTGGGGCCCTGAGCCTTTGCTTGCCTGCCTGGTGCAGCTGAGTCAGGGCAGGAGGGATGATGCATTGTTCCCAATCCCTGCTCAGGCAGCACCCCAGGCCGTTGGCATAAGCATGGCCTAGCAGAGAAGCAAGGCACTAGTGTCTGGGTGAAGGGGCTGTGCCCATCCTGCCCTGGAAAAGGCAGGCCAGGCTGCTCTGAAATCAGTAGTGAAGTGTCTCCCCTGCAGGGGTTACTGACATCTCTCTCCTGCAAAGTGCAAGACTGAGCACAGAAACCAAAACGGCAGCAGTGAAGTATCTTGAGGTTTAAGGCCAACCCTGTTAAATGTCCCTTTTTTAGCACTGCAGTCTTCAGGGCACTGTTGTTGTGAGATGCCATGTGAGTGTGTGATCTGCTGCCCGTGCTGGTTTCAGTGCAGGCTGTGATGCAGGCCTTTGTAGCAGGCTCTTGTAATAGAGTTCAGCTAAACTAGGTCTCAGTATCTGTCTATAAGTGGAAATCAGGTCGGGTTTATCCCGTTAATGTCTAAAAGCAGAGGGCGGACCTGGCAAGCAGGGGTGTGCAGGGGACAGCCAGCCGCACGGTGGAGCTGCCACCGCATCGCTGCTGGCACCGGTGCTGCCGGCAGCAGAGCAGGGCTGTTTCTGGGACATTCAAGACTGACACCCCCCCAAAGGGAGGCTCTGCTGCCTGTCGTGGCCCGCGGGCGTGTCAGCAACACGACTTGTGAGGTGCTCTGAGCTGGGCAGGCAACGAGGTGGCCTTGCAATGGCCTGGCAGAGCTGGAGGGAGAGGACCAGGACACGGTGCCAAGGTGTCCTCTGTGCCTGGTGTCAGCCACACCTCCAGCCTGGCACCCCACACTGCCCAGCCCGCTCAGATCCTGGGTAGCACAGACCCACTGTTCCCAGCTTGCAGGGACCAGGGGAGGCACAGAAGCATTGACCTGGCTGTAGCCCCTGGGAGAGGGCAACGTCAAATTCTCCTCCTGGTAAATGCCCCGTGCTGCTGGGTCAGCCCTGGGGATCTTCTGCCAGGATGATCTTGCCAGAGCTGGGCAGTAAATCTGCTGCATGAGCAAGGGTGAGAGTCCTTTTCTTCAAGGTGCTCCCCCCGGGACTTACAGGGAACTGCTGGTGGTGTCAGCCCTTTGCTGGAGCTGCTTCCCACCCCAAAGCTGGGCTGGGGGCAGTGTGGTGGTAGCCTAGCAGCAGAAAGGCACCTGTCTTAGGGTCTGGCACCAGGGAACTTAACTCCTAGCAGGGCATCGTGCTTGCAATCCCGCTCCTGGGTGCTTATGCTGCCTTTGCCTCTCCTCCCCCAGGGCTGGGAACTTGTTTCCAGCATGACATGCCAGCATCTCAGGTGGCCACAGCCAACAGCAAAGCCCAGGCCTGCCCCACATACCAATCTTTAAGTCCCAGAGGTGTTTCAAGCCCTCTGCCTGCCAACGTGAAAGGTCTCACAGGGCTGCCAGCCTAGAGGAACAGAGGAGCCTGCCTACAGTCCCCAAGGGGGGAGCACCCCCTTCCTGCCCCCTGCCAGAGGGGACAAAGAAACAGGAAAGCTCTTTAAAAGGGTGGAGCAGGGTACAAGATGAGGCTGGGGAAGGGGTCAGGAATGATGCTCCCAGCCAGGGCAGTGGGAGAAGCATGCACCACCCTTGGACGTCCTGTCATCCACTGCAGCGCAGGGGCAGCAAGGCATCAAAAAGCAAATCGAGGACAGTTGTAGAGTCCTGGTCCTCCTCTTGCACTCCAGCCTTCCCGTGGGCAGCCTCACCCAGAGCTGCATCCATAAGCTGCTGCAGAAGGACCCTCGTACCACAAGGACTAGGAGGAAGAGGAGCTGGAACTGATTTTTTTGGCTATTTCCATATCCGACTTGGCAACCAGAAACCGCAGCTTCTTCCCTCCGGAGCGGATGAGATCCACTGCACTGCAGGGAGCAGCAACAGGGAGAGGGGTGAGTTCTGGAAGCCCCCCAGGAGCCTGCCAGGTCATGGACATTTGCAAAACACTGCCTCTTCTCCCCCACCACCACCGATTTGCAAAACACCTGCACCCTCCACTCTATGCCTGCAACTGCCCCATCCCACTGCCTTTGAGAGGCAACCTGGGGTGGGGTGGGTGGGAGGAGCTCTGCATTGCTGAGATCCACCTCTGTAGCTCTCAGTTGTTTCCCAAATATGCCCTCCAGCTTCTGTTCCTTGACCCTTTTCCAAGCCCCTCCATCCAGCTACTTTCCCCCCTTTCCAGTGTCCTGTACAGGTCATTCCTCTCTCTGCAGCTTTCCTGTCCTGCAGCTCCTCTTGCTTGCTGACCAGAACCATAGCGCCAGGCACTGGGAGACCCTGCGCACCTCTTGGCTGCCCAAACAGCTGCAGACCTGGACCTGAGCAGTAAATCCCACAGCACCAATAGCAGGACAGGCCCTCCAGCCTGGTGCCACTCACCTTTGGTAGTCTGCCCCGATGAGGCTGGTGCCGTTGACAGCCAGGATGCGGTCCCCGATGGAGAGCCGGCCATCCGTGGCCGCGGGGCTGTCCTCGATCAGCGTGCGGATGTAGATCCCCGGGGAGCAGAGGGACGTGTGCTGTGGCAGGGACAGGTGGTGAGTGACCAGCCAGGGCAGGGAGGGGACACCAAAGGGCTGAGCTCCCCAGGCAGGGTGACTGATGGCACATTGGGAGGCACAGGGGTGGGGGGACATGATGGATGGGGACAGTGTCGCTAACAGTACCAGGACAGAAATGCAAACCTGCAGTTTTGTATCAATTGATACACAGGCCAGGGGAGGGCAATCTTTTCTTGTTCACTTGAATTAAGAGCAAAGCATCATTAACCTGTATCCAACTTGGGATGGGAGCTCTTTGCTCACAGCTGTCCCAAGGGCTCTGTGATGTCCTGTCTCCTACTGACTAACGCACTGTTGTGAAAGGCCACTTAGTGAGATGATCCACGCACAAAGCCAGATGGCAACACCACCTTTAGCGAGTGCTGTCACTGGCAGAGCTGTGCTGACACCCCAGGAGCCTCCCTGCTCCCCTCCACTTCCCTTACCACCCACTGAAGGGTGGAGGAAAGACCTCAGCTGAGTCATTTCCCTTCCACAGGAGCGCTGAGCCTATTTGCTCTCCCGTCCGTGGCCGCGGGGCTGTCCTCGATCAGCGTGCGGATGTAGATCCCCGGGGAGCAGAGGGACGTGTGCTGTGGCAGGGACAGGTGGTGAGTGACCAGCCAGGGCAGGGAGGGGACACCAAAGGGCTGAGCTCCCCAGGCAGGGTGACTGATGGCACATTGGGAGGCACAGGGGTGGGGGGACATGATGGATGGGGACAGTGTCGCTAACAGTACCAGGACAGAAATGCAAACCTGCAGTTTTGTATCAATTGATACACAGGCCAGGGGAGGGCAATCTTTTCTTGTTCACTTGAATTAAGAGCAAAGCATCATTAACCTGTATCCAACTTGGGATGGGAGCTCTTTGCTCACAGCTGTCCCAAGGGCTCTGTGATGTCCTGTCTCCTACTGACTAACGCACTGTTGTGAAAGGCCACTTAGTGAGATGATCCACGCACAAAGCCAGATGGCAACACCACCTTTAGCGAGTGCTGTCACTGGCAGAGCTGTGCTGACACCCCAGGAGCCTCCCTGCTCCCCTCCACTTCCCTTACCACCCACTGAAGGGTGGAGGAAAGACCTCAGCTGAGTCATTTCCCTTCCACAGGAGCGCTGAGCCTATTTGCTCTCTCCAGCTGCAGGACAGCTGTGATGGACTTTGCATGCACAGCAAGCCAGGAGCAGAGCTCTGCTCCTCCTGAAAGATCACTCGGTGCCTCATTTTCCCCAGGAGTAGCAGACTAGCTCCTGCAGGAAACCAGTAGCTGCTTTGCTGGCTTTTCTTGAGGTGTAAAACATGTCCCACGTGTCCCACTCCAGCTATCTGGAGGGGCATCAGTCCTGTCCTGCCACCAGTGAGAACTCACCACGCCGTCGATCAGCCCCATCCCCAGCCCAATGGGTCCTCTCTCCAGCTCCACCACGAAGACGTAGCAGAAATCATCAGTGGCAGAGCTGCGGCTGGAAGACTCTGGCGTGGGGTAGTCGTAGGGAGTTGGTGAGCACCCTGGCAGCAGAGAGACCTGCTTACAGCTCTGGTATCGCCCAAACCCAGCCTCACAACCTCCCCCAGAGACCTTCCCCCCAAAGCCCCATGGAAGCCGACCTCAGGGCTTCTCTCCCAGGGCAGGAGCTGGATGAGATGCTTAATTTGCTTTCACCTGCCTTGACCAAGCACTGACAAGTGCTTGAACCATGTGTTAGGAGGAGGGCTGCACAGGAGAACTGCAGCAAACATCCTCATGCCCCAATCCTGCACCCCCAAAGTAGGGCAGCCCCAGCCTTCCATACCTTCAGGGGTGCTGCCTTTGGTGCTGTTCATCCCATTCCTCCGGGGGTCCTGCAGCCCCTTGCTGGTGCCCTGTGGGGACTCTGGGCTCCCAGAGTCAAAGGGCAGGGGGGTGGTGGGAGGTGTCAGCAGGCAGGAGGAGGCTGGAGGGGCCATTCCAGCCTTGGGGGCCAGACCCCTGCCCAGCTGCAGCTGCTTGAGCTTCTCCTGGAGCTGTGGCTCTCCGGCGGGGTGCTCGCAGGGGCAGCCATTGGTGGCCAGGAGGAGTGGGGGGCTCCCCTGGGGCTCAGCACAGCCCCCCAGGGCGCAGTAGTCCTCCTGGGTGATGGTGCAGGTTCTCACTGGGCTCTCACTCACCTCCAGGACATCTGGTGTCGTGCATGCCTCTTTCTTAAGAAGGAGAAAAATGCTCCGTGGGACCCCCTGCATGTGCTTTTCACGCCCTTACCTGCCCCCCAGCCCCTCTTTGCTTTGCAGGCAGGTTGCTGTTGGCTCCAGCCAAAGCCTTAGCAAATGGGACATCTCCAGGGCTTATCCTGGCTTCCCAGCACAGCTCCTACACCCCAGTTTTGTAGGCAGGGGTGTGCTGGGGTTTGGTATAGCCCGC